TGGGCAAAGGGGGCTTCCCTGGTGGCACAGTGGTTGAGAATCCGCCTGCCAATTCAGGGGACGTGGGTTCGAGACCTGGTCTGGGAAGATCCCACATGCCGCAGAGCAACTAAGCCCATGAGCCACAACTACTGAGCCTGTGTGTCTGGAGCCTGTGCTCTGCAACAAGAGAAGCCACCATGATGAGAAGCCCGCGCACCGCAATGAAGAGTGGCCCCCGCTCGCTGCAACTGGAGAAAGCCCTCGCACAGAAACGAAGACCCAACACAGCCAAAAATAAAAAATAAATAAATTTTAAAATGGGCAAAGGGACTTCCCTGGTGGTCCAGTGGCTAAGACTCCACGCTCCCAATGCAAGGGGCCCTGGTTCAATCCCTAGTCAGGGAACTAGATCCCACAAGCATGCCTCAACTAGAGATTCCTCATGTTACAACAAAGATCCCTCATGCTGCAAGACCCGGAGCAGCCAAATAAATAAATATTTAATTTAAAACATAAAACCTACTATTTAAAAAATAATTAAATAAAATAATAAAAATGGGCAAAGGAACAGTGTATACATTTCTCCAAGGAAGACGTACAAATGGCTCATAAGCACATGAAAAGATGCTCAACGTCCTTAATCATCAGGGAAATGAAAATAAAAATCAGAGTGAGATACCACTTCACACCCACTAGGATGCCTAGAATCAAAAAGACATAGGGGGCTTCCCTGGTGGCGCAGTGGTTGAAAGTCCGCCTGCCGATGCAGGGGACACGGGTTCGTGCCCCGGTCCGGGAAGATCCCACATGCCGCGGAGCGGCTGGGCCCGTGAGCCATGGCTGCTGAGCCTGAGCGTCCGGAGCCTGTGCTCCGCAACGGGAGAGGCCGCAACAGTGAGAGGCCCGCCTACTGCAAAAAAAAAAAAAAAGACATAATAGTAAGTGTTGATAAGGATGTGTGGAAGTTTGATACATTACTTCTGGGAATGTTGAATGATTTGTCATTTTGGAAAATAGTCTGGTGGTACCTCAAAAAGTTAAAAACATAGTTACTGTATGACCCAGCCATTCTACTCCTAGGTGGAATTCATGAGAAAAAGCATGTCTACACAGAAACTTGTACATGAATGTTCATAGCAACATTATTCATAATAGCCAGAAGGTGGAAACAACCCAAAAGTCCATCAGTGGATGAATGGAGAAACAAAATGTGGTCCATCCTTACTGTGGAATGTTGTGCAGCCATAAAAAGGAATGAAGTCCTGGTGTACGCTGCCACATGGAGGAACTGAAAACACTATACTGAGTGAAAGAAGCCAGATACAAATGGTCATATACTGTATGAGTCCGTTTATATGAAATGTCGAGAATAGGCAAATCTATAGAGACAGAAAGTAGATTAGTGGTTGCCTGGTAATGGGCACTGGAGGATGATGGCTTAGGGGTGCAGAATGGCTTTTTTTTTTTTCTGGCTGCTGGCTGAGCAGTGTGGCATGAGGGGATCCGACCAGAGATGGAACCCATGCCCCTGCAGTGGAAGCATGGAGTCCTAACCACTGGACCGCCAGGATAGACCCCCCAGAATGGCTTTTTGAGGTGATGAAAATGCTCTGAAATTGATTGTGGTAGTGATGGTTGAACAGTTCTGTGCATTGAATTGGGCACTTTCCTGGGTGAATTGTATGGTATGTGAATTATATCTCACTAAAGCTCTAAAGAAAATGGCTCAGTCCATGATGAAACACAAAATGCCTTCAGATGGTGGCCTTCATGAGACAGACATGGAGGGGCAGAGTGTCATGTCTCAGGGAGCCAGGTTTCCAGGGATGAAACCAGAAATACGACTTGCAGCTGAAGCAGGAGCTGCTCCCTTCTCTCCCTCTCACCCTGGAATTCAAAGATGGCTCAGGGAAGATCTGGACTTCCTGAGTGGGGAAAGGGGTTTTCAGACAATTGAATGGGCTCCTAAGGGTCAGGGGTTGTTAGCTGGGGTCCAGTGAACCCAAGTGAGGCTTTTACCAAGGAGTGGGACTTGTAGGTCTGTCCCACTTGGGCTCACACGAGTGGCCCCTAAGGAACCCTGTTCTTCTTCAAGGATGTTACAAGTTGAAGTGTGTTTCCCCAAATTCACATGGTGAAGTTCTAACCGCCACTACCTCAGAATGCAACCTTATCTGGAGATAGGTCATTACAGAGGGAATCAAGTTAAAATGAAGGCCTTAAAAAAAAAAAGTCCTTAGTGTATGCCCTAATCCAGTATGACTGGTGACCTTATAAAAATGGGGAATTAGGAGACAGATACATGTCTAGGGAGGATGCCATGTAAACATGGAGATGGCCGTCTCCACGCCTAGGAGAGAGGTCTGGAACACATCCTTCCCTCAGGACTCTCAGAGAAACCAAGCCTGCAGACACCTTGATTTCAACTTCTAGGCTCCACCGGGAGAGAATAAATTTGTGCTGTTTAGACACTGGTCTGTGGCAGTTTGTTATGGCAGCTCTGGGTCACTAATACAGTCAGGAAGGCCATGGCCATGCTGGGCTGTGAGGGGCTGTGGCTGCAGCTGGGAGGCAGGCCAGGCTGTGAGAGATAGGGCCAGGGAGAGCCCTGCCGTGGTGGCTCTGGATTGAGGGGCTCCCAGAGGGCTCAGGGGCATCCCCCATATCTTAACCCGCAGCTGGGTGACGTCCTTCTCCAGAGCTCCAGAAGATTCTTCAGCCTGCTGTCTCAAGTCTGGACTTTCCCTCTGCCCCTCCCCTCTCTTGAGCTGATGGGTCAGGGGTGAGGCCCGTGCTGGGCTCAGAGAGTCCCATCCCAGCTCAGGGTGGAGGGGCGACAGCCAGGGACCCTGAGTGTAAGGAAAATGCTCTCCTCAGTCCAGGCCCCTCAGACCTCTGTCGCCTCATCTTTCCTTCCTTCTGTCTCTTCCCCTCTCTGTCTCTGTTTCTGTCACACACGCAAACACACACAGCTGACCCTGCATCCTGCCCCAGGGTGGCTCCACCCTCCCCCCGCCCCTCTCTCTTCTGCTCTTAAATCAGTGGATCTCAGGGGTCAGCAGACAGCTCAGCTGGGGCTCTGGCTGGAGGAGCTCAAGGTCACTGGCTCAGGAGAAGCAAAAGTTGGGGGAGGGGGCTGATCTGTAGCCAGAGGGCTTTCCAGGGTGGCGGGACAGGCTGCTTCTCTGAAACCCTTTTCCTCACACCTGTTCCTCCCACTAGGTCACAGCAGCAGAACCCGGAGCCACCATGTGCTTCTCCAAAGTGAGTGAGAGTGAGTGATGGGGGGGAGATTGGGCCCTGGAGTCTCATTTCCCCAGTGTTCCCCACCCCCACCAGCCCAGCCCCCACCCCTACTGACTGGTCCACATGCACCTGCCTCTGTCCCACCTTCCCTGGGCCCTGGGGGAGCCACCGGGGAAGCAGAGGGTCAAAGGCATGTGACCTGTGCCATCAACAGGGCCCAGTCTCACAATGACCCTGTTCAAATGCTCTGCTGTCACCGTCCTGAAATCCTGCATAATTGTGGACAAAGGACCCTACAGTTTTCTTTTGCTCTGAGCCCTTTCCTTTATGGAACAGGTCCTGTTGTGGGCCAGTATTCCTGTCTGGGAGGTCAGTTATGGGGGGCAGCTCTGTGTGCATGTCTGTGTGTGCAGGAGCACAGAGGAGTTATGGGACAAGGGTGTCACTTTAGGAATTAGACTGGACATGCTTGTGGGGGAGCTGGAAATGGAGGGTCTGCAGTGTAAGAGGAATCAGCCATCCCCTTGGACCCTGTCTACACCCTGGAAACCCGGGGGTTGAGGCTGGGCAGTGCTTTCCGAGAAACTTAAAAATATTCTTCTCAGGTGCCTGGCCTCACTGTCTATTCTTTCCCTTTGGGGTGCCTTCCCCCCTCCCCCCACCACACCACTCCCCCCACCTCAATTCTGAGGGTGACCAGACCAGGGAGCTCTGGGCCACGCAACACAGGGATCGGGGAGTGGTCTTTGTGGGATGACCCAGGGCTGAGTGGTCAGACTCAGAGGGTCAGGAGATTGTTCCCACTGGCCCCCAAGGTGTTTTTTTGCCCCGTTGTGTGTGACACTGGGCTGACAGGGTGGTGCCCCTGGTGACACAAAGTGTGCAGACAGGTGCCTTGCACACGCTGTGAGTGGCACTGACCACCCAGGGGCCGGAAGGCAGTGTGGACAGCTCCAGATTGGGACCATAATGTAGAGTCTTGTGAGGGGTCTGTGGGGCACCTCCCACCTCCATGGTGGAGCCAAGTGTCTGGCGGGGAGGTGCTGGGGCCCAGGGGCCTGCAGGGTCAGCGGTCAGTTAGAGCCTCAGACAGGAGAGGACAGTGCCAATTCCTCCCTGTTCAGCTCTCACCAGGACCACGGAGGGCTAGGGATCTGGGAACCAGGTTGACCCTGCACACTCAGTGGCAATGGTTCTACTTTGTGTGTGTGTGTGTGTGTGTGTGTAACAGGTCTGGGGGAGTTGGCAAGGTCACATAAGCCTGAGTGTCACTGTTACCTACACAGGGAGTCCCAGATAACATTGCTGCTCTGAGGGCCAAAATGGTAAGAACCTCTTCCCCATGTATGGTTGGGGGATGCAGGAGGCCTGGGTTCTGCTGGGTGAAGCTGAGAATGTCCTGGCTCACCTGAGACGCAAGAGGGAGAAGGACCAAGCCTCTTTGTCCCAACTCTGTCTCTCTTCACAGCATGAGTATGTGGATGACTTCTGTGAAGAACTCCAAGGTCAACCCCAAGCAGACACACAGGTGGGTCAGTGCACCCCTACTCCCCTTGCCTCCCCAGTTTAAGTGTGGTGGGTGGTTTCTGATGATGGTGATGATGAAGGTGAAAGCTCAGCACCCAGTCTTTACACTGGACAAAATTCCTACCTGTGTGGCAGGTGAGTGCACAGGTGGGGGATACAGAGGCCCAGGGATGCTGAGGGAGGTGTCCAAGTCAGAGGGCAATTGATGGCAGGGCAGGGATGCCAGATGCCTGGTCCCCAGGCACGTGGGCTGAACCCTCACCTTGCGGTGAGGGGCCACAGATGAGAACAAGCTGGGGCTTGGGGTTTGAGACTGAAAGTGAGAGAGGGTGGGGGGATTTTAAACAGAGCGTTGTTTTCCCAGCAGGTCGAGTCAGTCCTAGCAAGGCTGGAGGTGAGTTTGGGCCTTGCCCCTGCCCCAAAGAGTAGCCCCCGGGGTTGGATCAGCCAGGTTATCTGGGTTGCTGTCTCCCTTTGGACTCACCTGGATGCATGGGAGGCCACAGTGGGGACCACAGACCTCAGCGGCAGGGGCAGGTGTGCAGCCTCCACACTTCCTCTCCCCAGGACCAACTCAGTGAGAACCTGCTTGAAGCTGTGGATGCTGAAGTTCACAACAATGTACTGGTGAGTATGAGCCACTGTCACAGCCCCTTGCTTCCCCTCCACCTTGCTCTCTCTCGCCGTTGGCACTGCCAACGCTATGTGTGCACATAGCTCCCCTGAGTGGGGGTTGGAGGGATGGCCCCTGAGAGCTCAGGAGGTGCAGCCTTGCTGGCACTGGCCTCCCCGCCCAGCACACAGTGGCCAGAGCCCTGCCCTGAATTCACGATGATGAGCCCCGTGGGCCTGGTGCTGGGCTCAGAGGCCAGTATGCCAACAGGCAGGTACACCTCACCATGGTGGTTTACGCCTTGAGGGGAATTGAGGGGCCAGGCCCAGCCTCTGGGAAAAGTCCTGGTGTCTATGGAGCTGTTGGCAGGAAAGCAGGCAGTTTCCATTTGCGGGCTTCTGTGTCCCAGACTCTCACAAAGGCTTGGAGGCCTCAGCCAGGGTCAGGACCTGGGGCTGCATCCCCCCTAGCGGGGGTCCCTGAACAGCCTCCCATCCCTACAGGAGTTCACCCCCGTGCTTGGTGAAGTGCAGTAGGAATTCCGTTGTAGAATCCGGAGGCCCTCTGGTACTGACAACCCAGGAGACCCGGAGAGGCCCTCTGGCTCTGACAATTCAGGGGACCAGAAGCCGGGGAAGAGCTTTCGGGACAGAGCGCTGAGGCAGTTCTGAGAATGGCTGCAGAAGCTGAAGTGGAAGTTTTTTGTTGCGCTTGCCTGCCTGCGGCAGAAGGTGGCTGCCGGCCTACAGGCCTTGCGCAGTGCGGTTGAGGCCATCTGGGGAGAGTTGAAGCGTTTCTTCTCCTCTGTGGGGCAGGTCTTCAAGAGCCTCATCTAGGTCTAGGGAGCCCCACAGAGTCCGGGAGGAGATTGGCCTCATGTAGAAGCCAATTTGATTTTCCCCTTCTCAGTAAGAATCTTCTGAAGCGAACTTTGCCCTCCTGCCCACCCTTGACCCATCCTTGCAACCTCCCTCACCTCCTGTCCTTCAGGGAGGACACCACCCTGCCCATCAAGCTCTCCCCACCCGGGTTTCTTTCTCCAGGTCTGACCTGCCTGTAGCTGTAGTGCTGAAATCCTAATAAAAGTTGATTGAACCAAATGGAGTGCCTGTGGGGATGGAGGCTGGGGGCCCAATGGTGAAAGGCAGAGTTCGTGGGTCAGATGGACCCAGGTGGGGGTCCTGGTTCTGGGTGAACAAGGACAAGCCACCCGCCTCTCTAATCTGTAACTAGGGACCCTGGTCAAGGACTGACTCATGGTGAGGACTGGACCATCTCAGGCCACTGCATTGCTTATCGCGGTGCCTGAGGCATAGTAGGTGCTCAATAAATGCACACTCCTGGGGCACAGGGAGCTCCGGGGAGCGGCTTTGACCCCTCTTTTCTTCTCCTTATCTCCCTCTTTGGGCATTCACCACTCCAGCTGGGGCCTCGCAGCTCCTTGATCAGAGCCCCAGGAGCCAGGGAGGGTGTACCCAATCCTGGGCCAGGAGGGAAGGCAGAGTAGGAGAGGTGGGAGTGGGGTCTCTGGGCCTGTGGCCTCCGTCACCTGGGCCTGCAAATGCAGACTGGGCGATCCAGGAGCAAGGCCTGAGGGCCAGCCATGCTCACCATCTCTGAGGCCAAATTCCCCTCCCCCGAATCTCTCCAACCTCACCCCACACAGCCCTGACTTCCTGCCTCAGGGTGCTCACAGAGTAGCTTTGCCTTTGGGGATTCTCTGCAACCCACTCTTCCTCCCAACCCCTGAAGGGCTGGACCTTCCCTAGGCTCAGAGCTTTCCCTCCCAACTGTGCCTGAGAACCACCTCTACTTTCCCCAGATTTGGGGCTGGTTCTCCTTCAGTTCCTTGAGCTTTGGTTGATGAGTTCACTTCCTTTCCACAAGCATTTGCTAAGGAGCAGTCTTGTGTCAGGTTGGTGGAGGGGCAGTAATTAAAATATAATATTTTTTGAGTGAAAAGTGACAGACAAAAGCAGGTGTATGTGTGCTCTGGAGCTGGGGTGGGCAGCTTTTCTCTCCTGTATTTTTAGCAGAAGTCACATGATTTAAAATCTGTCCACCAGAGGGAGAGGCAAACCAAGTCAGCCTGATGGGCAGGAAGAGGGTGGGGCAAGCCTACAAGGCAGCTTTGGGTTTAGAAGAGTACGATGGTTAGGGGTCCCCAACTGTCAACCTGACTTGGCTGTGGGCAGGTTAGTTTCTCCTGTTAGCATTTTCAGTTAGAATTAGTTACCAATGTTGCAGAAGAAGAGGTTTCCTGTATTAATCCAGAATCTGGGATTTTAAGTTTTATTCATTTAAATTAATTTAAATAGCCACATATGGCTGGAGGATACTGTATTGGACACGGAGGGTTAGTGGTAGACTCCAGAGGAGAAAAAGTTCCTGGGTGAGATTGATTGGCCTTACCAAGAGCTGCCTGTGACAGAAACCCTCCGCCCAACTCCCAACACACACACACACACACACACACAGTCTGAGCCTTTTCAGGTGGGAGGAACTCCCCCTGGACCTGCTCCCATCCAGCCTGCTTTGAAGGGGTGGGACAAGGAGAAATGCATCACCGTGATACAGTGGGGAGGGTAAAAGGTGGCGTTTTGGTGCACTTAAAAAAAACATAAAGAGGGACCACTTTCAAGAAGGCTGTTTTACTTTGGGTATTTTAAAATACATTCCTGAGGCCTGGAAGAGTTCCCTGTGGGGATGGGAAGAACTACTGTGCAGGGTCGGTGGAGCCAGAGAGAGGTGGCTGGGGTGTGGGGGCAGCGCCATCCACTGCAGGCTTGAAGGCCAGGTACACCGGGGAGATGCACGCGGGACAGACCTGGCGGAACCAGGTGAAGCTAGTACAGGGTCTCCCGGGCGTGGGTTCTCAGGTGGCGTAGCAGGTGGGAGTTGCGGCTGAAGCTGCGGCCACACTGTGCGCAGGAGTAGGGCCTGGCCCCTGTGTGCACCAGCATGTGCCGCAGTAGGTTGCAGCTGCGGCTGAAGATCTTGCCGCACTCCAGGCACTCCTGGGGGGGCTCGGCCTGCCCAGACGCGCCCTCGTCCCCCGCCCCGGCGTGGGTGGCCAGGTGGCGCTGCAGGTGAGCGTTGCGCCGGAAGCTCCGGCCGCACTTCTGGCAGCTGTAGGGCCGCTCGCCCGTGTGGCTGCGGCGGTGGCGGGCCAGGTTGGAGCTGTTGCGGAAGCGGTGGCCGCACGTGTCACAGACGTGAGGCTTCTCCCCGGTGTGGATGCGCTGGTGGCGCGCCAAGTGGGCGCTCTGGCTAAAGCCCTCGCCACACTCGCTGCAGCGGCAGGGCTTCTCCCCGGTGTGGATGCGCTGGTGGCGCGCCAAGTGGGCGCTCTGGCTAAAGCCCTCGCCACACTCGCTGCAGCGGCAGGGCTTCTCCCCGGTGTGGATGCGCTGGTGGCGCGCCAAGTGGGCGCTCTGGCTAAAGCCCTCGCCACACTCGCTGCAGCGGCAGGGCTTCTCCCCGGTGTGGCTGCGCCGGTGGCGGGCGAGGTCCTGCGTCTGGCTGAAACTCTTGCCGCACTGGATGCAGTGGTGGGGCCTCGGGCCGCCGTGGGTCAGGAGGTGGCGGGCGAGGCCGGCCCTTCGCATGAAGCGCTTCCCGCAGTGTGGGCAGCTGTAGGGCTTCTCGCCTGTGTGCACCCGCTGGTGGCAGACCAGCTGGGAGCTCTGACTGAAGCTACGGCCACAGACCTGGCAGGAGAAGGGCCGCTCGCCTGTGTGCACACGCCGGTGTGCCCCCAGGTGCTCGCTGCGCCGGAAAGCCTTGCCGCAGTCGCCACACACGTAGGGCCTGAGCTCGGGCCCAGGACGCAGGCTGCCCGAGCACTCGGAGCACTGGTGGCCCTGGTCCTTGGCGTGGATCCGCAGATGGCGCTTGAGGCTGGAGCGGCGCTGAAAGGTTTGGCCACAGTGGGAGCACAGGACGATGGCCAGCTCGGGGGGCGCTGGGGTCTTGGTCTCCGGGGCGCCTGGGGGCTTTTGGTCCTGGGCGTGCGCTAGCAGGTGCTGCATGAGGCGGGCCCGGCGCTGGAAGCCCTGACCGCACTCGGCGCACAGGAAGGCAGGCTCGGAGGAGTGCGTCTGCATGTGTTTGCTCAGGTGCGAGCTCTGGCGGAAGCGGTGGCCACAGAGGTGGCAGGTGTGCGGCCGCTCATCCGTGTGCGTGCGCATATGCAGCTTGAGGATGGAGCTGCGGCCGAAGCTCTTCCCGCAGCACAAGCACAGGAAGGACCGCGCGCCCGGGTGAGACCGCAGCTGGTGCGTCTCCAGGCGGGCCAGCTGTGGGAAGCTCACCCCGCAGTCTGTGCAGATGAACTTTGTCTCCGGCTCTGACTTGGGGGCGCCCCCAGCCACTTTGACCTCGAGAACTTCACTCCTGTCGGGAGGGGACATTTCTCCACCGGGGCCGCCCACCTCAGGGCCCGGGCCGAGCGACTGAGTGTGGGGCTCTTCTGCCACCCTGGGACTCTCTGCCTGAGACTTTGCTGAGATGGCAGCGGGCCAGGACACCCCTTTTGGTTCCTCTTCTTTAAACGCCTCGTCTGGGGTTCTGCCTCCAAATCCTGGGAAAGAAGCAGAAAACAGGACAGGTCAGGCCTTTTCGGAGGCGCTTCTGGGAATTGCCAGAACCTCAGTGCCTGGAAGCAGAAAGAATCCCAGAATCCTGCAAAGCTGGTAGGTGGGCAGAGGGTGGGTAAAAACCAAATAACATACAGTTTGCCGTCTTAAGGTGTATAATTCTGGTCCATTAGGTCCCTTCAAAATGTTGTGCAACCATCACCACTATCTATGTCATTCTCCCAAATGGAGACCCATACCCATTAGCAAGCCCTCCCATGACCACCTATTTTATTTCATTTTAGCTGTTGTAATTAATTTTACTGAAGTATAGTTGATTTATAATATTGTGTTAATTTCTGCTGTACAGCAAATGGATTCAGTTACAGATATATTCTTTTCCATTATGTTTTATTAGAGGGTATTGAATATAGTTCCCTGTGCTGTACAGTAGGACCTTGCTGTTTATCCAGTCTATATATAATAGTTTGCATGTGCTAATCCCAAACTCCCAATCCATCCCTCCCTCCCACTCCCTTCCCCTTGGCAACCACAAGTCTGTTCTCTATGGCTGTGAGTCTGTTTCATAGATCAGTTGATTTGTGTCATATTTTAGATTCCACATATAAATGATATCATATGGTATTTGCCATGACCACCTTATTGATTGATTGATTGATTGATTGATTGGACATACTGCACAGCTTGCGGGATCTCAGTTCCCTGACCAGGAATTGAACCTGGGCCCACGGCAATGAAAGCCCAGAGTCCTAACCATTGGATGGCCAGGGAGTTCCCAACCACCTATTTTAAAAGCTCAAAGTTTTGGGGGTTGATGATTAGACCCAATGAGCCTAAAAATAGCCCTGTATAGATACAGACATATCAATATATATCTATCTATATATGCATATATCAGTATATATTACCTCATCAAAATAGTCCATTTTTTGCCAAAGAGGTCAAAAAGTCAGGTAGGGACCACCCCTAACAGGCAAAGAAAAACCCTTCAGTGGTCATAAACCCAGGAAAAAGGCCTCTTACCCAGAGGATGCACAGGCCAAGCCTTCTTTGCTGGGACATCTTCAAAGGTTAGGGACTCCTGTGACCAAAGGAGGGGCAGAGATTGTCACTAAGTGAGGAATGGGGCTCTAGGACCTGAGGGGGATGAAGAACTTTCAAGGTTTAAATTAAGAAAAACATGGATTTGCTAAAACTTCAGAGGCAGAGAACTGAGGGTACCAGTCCGGCTCACCAGC